AACTTCACAATTACCTCAAATAATTATAAAATTAAATAACGTGTTATTTGAAATAATAATTCAAATAATTATAGAATAAAATAACATGATATTTGTGAAATACTATTTCAAGTGATTATGGAATAAAAGAACATATTATTTGAAATAACATTTCAAATAACGTCATTTGAAAAATGATCATATAGAAATAATTATAAAATAAAACACAATATGTTTTTTGAAATAATACTTCATATAATGTTATTTCAAATATGTCCAAGTCTGATCGGTCCCCATTAATTTGGAATTTTGTTATATAATTTGTTAAAATTGGCCACCTGCGGGTCTGTTAATAATTACGTTAAGGAAAATAATTGTGGGAATATCGCATGTCAACTGACTTTGCGTCCAAAAAGGCCGTCCGTATCTATAGACATTAATGAATGGTTTTAGGGTTGATGAAGGATTGGACCAATAGTTTCGTGGTCTGTCAGCTTGCACTTATAGCAATGAACGTCCTGTTCGTTATTCCGTGGTCAATACAGTTCCTTTCAGTGGAATTACCAAAGAGAAGAAAGGGACGGGCGGATAAAATGGCTGCCCAATCTTCCGGTTTCACCCCGAATTGATTCACACCAACAGAAATACGAAAGCATAAAGAATTCGTAAGCGCAGGCAAGATGAAAATGTCTACTTCGAGAGCAAACTTTTGCACAAAGCGAAAACATTCCTGTAAAGTTTAGTAATACAGCTGTACGAATGTGTGATAAAATGCTTCATTCGCGAAATGAAAATTTTGGAAGTGCATCGTTCCTTAGTAATTCTGCAAACTTATTTTATAGCAACCATAGAGTGAAACAGCTTTTTCATGATATTTCACAGAGTAGATGTTTTAAAGTTGACTCTTATACGAATGTAATGTCAACGAAATATTGTAACGATTGTAGATATGTAATTAGAGCAACATATAAAATAGTGACTTTTATATTGACAGTGCTATTATCGAAGGTGAAAATAAAAGAAATTATAACTTGGAATGTTATATTTACTTGTGTTGAAAGCTTACAATAGTATTTCACGTAATATAATAATTTATCTTTCATTATTTATAAGACATCCTTATTTATATTATATTAGTACGCTTATAATAATAGCAAATGTTTGTGCAAAT